TACCCCTCATGTCGTACCCGTCGGCGCATTCAAACCTCACCGTCTCGTTCACGCTGTAGAAGAACTTGACGATCGATATAATGCCGCCGTGTGTTGTGCCCGGGTATGTGCACGCGGGCACACCTGGTCATACAAAACAAACAAGATCATTTATTAGTATCTATTGATATATTAATATATGTCTGTGTTTTTGTGCGGACATACAGTTGGGCGGCGGACCCGACCAGCGGCTGTTCTCCTGACAGATGACAATGGGGTTGCCCTCAAGCATATACCCGGTATCGCACGTGAACTGTACGATATCGCCGCCCCGAAAGCGCTGTATTTTGTCGCCCTGTAGATAACCATGTGTTGGTATGACTGGTGTCTCGCAAAATACCTCTGTCACATTTTGTCGTATAAATTAATAATATGTTAGTATTGTTATATAAAGTAGTTTGTAACTTTATTAATTGACAGCATTAAATGATATGTCTAAAACAAAATATAAATTATAAATAAATTTATAACAAATATTTTCAATAATAAAATTATAAATTTTCAACACAATTACTATATTTAGCCCATAATCTAAATGTCATTTAAATATAAGTAGACTTAAAGGTAACACAAAATAACAATAAAAAGGTGACAATAAATTAAATTGAATAAAAATATAAATCACGATTAAAAATACTAAACATGTTTTTATGAAACTTTAATCTCATTTTCTGTAAACTCAAGAAATTTTCATTCAATTATAATTGGTATTGATTTTTATGCTACGTTTGGCAAAAGAATCAACTTATTATTAGATATGAAAAGTAATAAAAAATATTTTACAAATATTTTAAATACTGAATTAAATTCCTATTGTGTTACTTATGACAGATTTAATGATAAAAATATATTTAATACCTTCACATATAGGAACTGCTGCCGACCAGTGGCCGGACTCCAGACAAGTGATCTCTGGTTTGCCTTTGAGGCCATAGCCTATGGGACACGAGAATGTGGTCACATCACCGACATATCGGCCATTCATCGTCGTCTTCAACATAGATCTCGGGTCCGTTTGGTTATCAGTAATCGTAATGTCGGTGCTATTCGTCAGATCCGGGCATTCGGTTACTAAATGTATGAAACAAACAATATTTTCATTCATTTCATTTAAAAACACAAATTACACGCAAACCACAAGTAGTATAAAGTGGTTGTACTCACTAATACACGTCGGGGTGTCTGCGGACCAATTGCCTGATGGCAGACACTCGGCACTATCGGTGCCGTTCAGTTTCATACCGGGCCGACACGTGAACAAGGCTTTGGCGTTCATTTTAGTGCTCGGGCTTATAATCTTCAGTCCATCGCTCTCTACCAGCGCTGAACAATGAACAGCTATTTCATGAAAACAAAACAAATCATTAATATAAATAACAATAATTGTGGGCAAATAATAAGGATGTGATTGAAAACATGGCATACGTTTGACAATTATCTCCACAGAGTGTCTGTGATAATTGGGTGTTCGGCACGTGTAGAGCCCGGAGTCCTCCTTCTGGGCGTGAAATATACTTAAACGAAATTCTAGGCCAGAATCGCGACCCGACTCTGTTGTCCAATCTATACATCAATCATAATGAAAACACAATATGCGTCAACATTATTAATTTAAACCGGGCAAAATGTTAATACCCTGGTTATATTTGCGGAACGAATGGCTCCATTCCCATACGGGTGCGCCAAACTTGCGTTTCCAGAGGCACTCCAAGTGCAATATAGTGCCCGGATATACAATCAGCTTTCCGTCCACACTCTGGGCTATTGGTCCCAATTGGTGCCGGAATAGTATAGTCGGCGGCTTTTCCACTACAAAAATAACCATGTTAATAGTTGCCGGGAAATATGATAATGGTAATAGACTGTACGAGCGTAATCGTTCTCCTGGGAGAGGCCAAAACATTGCGGTCGGTCGCCGTCCCACTCGCCGTAAACGCATTTCCGTGTTTTGCTGCCAATGAGGTTGTATTTGCCGATGTCTTTGCACCGTATGATGAGTTGAGTGCCGGCCGACAGCTCTGTGTACTCTTCGATCCGCTGGTCGCCGATAAACGCCCACACGTTTGGGTCGACGTTCGTGTAGACACAGGTGTTATTCTTCCGCAGCTCCAACGCCGCCATATCTTCCTCTGAATTGGCATTAATTGTAAGCAAAAATTGCGATTAATTACCAAATTTTTTGGCCACAAATATATCATGTAATGTGAAGTTGTCTTTTTTACCGCATTTAGACGCCCGGCCAATCCAACCGCCGTCTTCGCACGTGATTGTCCACGTGTTTCGCTGGCCATTCATCGCCGGCAAACAATTGAACACAATTTCCGTCCCGTGCGGATGGTATACCTTCTCCTGAGGGCCGGCGGCGGTCGTCGTATCCGTTATATCGACGCTCTTATTGTCGGCGGCACTTAATGCCAAGCCTTTGCTTAAATCAGTTATGTTTAAAAAGTCGGTGAAATAAGTTGTGGTCATTTCAATGAGTTTGGCGAACACAGTGGTGGCAGTGATGGGCGTTGTGGTGATGGGTGCGGCTGTTGAGGGGGTGCTGTCGGCTGTTGTGGACTGTGCTGTAGTCGTGTTGTTGTTGTCGTCGTTATTGTCATTTGAATTGATTTGTGCGATACTAATGAGTGGCAAATGATTAGCGCTGAAAGTGGACTCGTATTTGAGTACGTTTTCCAGTTTGTCCGGAGGTTCGCACCAAAGCATCTCAGATGGAGTGCTAGTGTTGTAGGTTATGGTCGACTCCGACCCACCAGTCGGTGATAATACTTGTGTTTTTGGCACAGATATTACCGATTCGTCAGCGTTTATGGCCTAATAATTGAATACAAAAACAATTATTTTAACAAATATTAATTTTATAACCAGATACAAACCTTATCGTCGATGACATTCATAACTAAGTCGTGTTCAATACAATGGGGTGGTTCGGGCATAAGCCGGCCCTCGAAACAACGGGGCGGCTCCTGAACGCCCCGAACGTAATTGGGTTTGCAGTGAAACTCAATGACAGAGCCGTGAGAAATGGTGAGTCCGGAGCGGTAACCGCCCGAATAGTAACCATTTCTAATGGTGGGCAGAGCGCAGGGGGCGGCGATGCACTGCGGCTGCGGACTCGTCCACTCGCCGTACCAGCACCGCATAGTGGGCGCCCCTTGCAGTTGATGGCCGGCCATACAGCCCAGCCGTATGGCATCGCCGTGTGATATGCGGTGCGCTATTGTCAACTGTGCGTTCCGGTGGTAGAAGAAACCGTTGACCGCAAATGGCGTCAGACAGGGAG